GCAAAGCTGCTGCCTCCCTTGGCAATAGGCACTTTGGGCCGAGCCTGTGAATAAGGTCCCTTCCTTGATCCCCCCCCACCCCCCACCGATTTCCCAAAGACTGAAATCTTTACTTTAGAGGCAGACCTTAAATTCAGACTGGGTTCAGGATTGCCCCAGGTCTGGGAAAGCAGGTCCCTGATTCAGTCAGCTTGGTTCATTCGTTTCCGAGGACAGCGTATGAGGGATGTATGAGAAATCTCCTGAGCTCCGCTCTCCCAGACTCCATGCCTTTCCTGAAAAGGTGAGGTCTGCCTGCCTCACAGCCAGCATCCATGCCCCAGGGGCCCCAACCTCTCGAAGGGGAGGTGACGCTTTTCCTTTCTGAGAGCTGCAAGTCACACTGTGGAGGGGCCGAGGCAGTGCCTGCATCACTAAGGGCCGGGGGAGCCTGGTTTTGGTGAAGGTGTACCCAGGTGGATGTCTATGGTGGTGCCAATGTTACATGATTCAGCAACAGCTTGCTTAAAATACAGCCCTCCAGGTTTGATTGAAAACAAAAAACAAAATTAAGGCCCTCTGGAAGGAGAGTCTCCAAGGAAGAAACGTTTAATTATGCAAATGAGCCCAACTTTTCCCCCTGAGATGCATCTCCTTTGCTTTTGGACTTCCTGCTACTGCCACCAAACCCTGGCCTTAGGGGTTAGGCCGTTGTGTCTTTCAAACTACAGCCACGGAGGGATACAACCCCTGCCTTTCTTCTGAGTCCCCTCAGCCCAGCTGCTCATCACGGAAAACTTTTTTAAAGAATGAGACAACGAAGGGGATGATTATAGATGATATGAACAGCACAGACGGTGAGCATTCCCAGATCAGGAATCTGGGCTGATGAAGTCAGGCCCCGGACCTCTGCAGCCTGGTAGGCACCTGCCGGGTGGCCTCGGGTTCTTGGCTTAGCCTCTTTGCTGGCGCAAAGGCCTCTGGGGTCTCTAGGGAAGCAGCGTCTACACTCCCGCTCCGCCACTCCCCTGCCCACTCCCTTGTTCTGTACATTTTTCTAAGTAATGTCATACATGTTTATTAGGAAAAAAGAAATCCTATGTTCTCCACTACCGAAAGGTAACCACTGTTATTTTGATACTGTTCTCTCTGGTTTTTTCTGTACACACAGAAACATTTTTATTTAAAGAAAGTGAATTTTCTTGGGATTTTTTGTTTATATTCAAGTGCACTTGACATACCCTCTTATATTAGTTTCAGCTATGCAGCCTAGTCATCAACATTTGCACAGGAGGAAGTGAAGTGATCTCCACTCACCACACATCTTAGCTGCCATCTGTCACCAAAGTTGTTACATTAATTATATTCCCTATGCTGTGCATTGCCCCCACTTGTCTTATTTATTTAGATACATTTTAAATGAAGATGGGAACACCCAGCACAGACTGCTTTGAGCAGTTCTGCATGCAGCAACCTCTGAGGGATCTGAAGGAGATGATGCCCCAGCCAACAACCCTCCACAGATGAGCCATAGTGGCTGCAAAGTAACTGGGTTACTTCTAGTTCAGGTTATGAGTGCAGCCACTGCTGGACCAGAATGGGGACCTGCTGGGGAGGCACCCTGCCCCCACTTCCTCATGAACAGCAGTCACTTACCAGGTAGGGTTACCCCTCTTTAGTCACAGCCAGGTGTCAGCCACACAGGCTCCCTTAGCCGGCGCCCAGTCTCTAAGCAAATGAATTCTGTTCCTCAGCCTCTCCTCTTTGGGCGCCATCTCTGGGGCTCTGCAGTCTTGCCATCCTGGGAAGGCAGGAGTGATACCACTGCACATTCACATGAGGCCTACGGGAGCTCTGTGGGGCCAGTGTGTCCGAAAGCCACAGAATCTCCAGAGGGAGCGGGTCCTCACTTAGCCTTTCAATGTTTGACGACTTTATACAGAAATCTGTATCCTGAGCCCTGGAAACAGTCATCTGGGTGACATCACTAGGCTGCCCCAGAGCTGAGAGAAAGCTGCTTCTGTCCTTGAGTATCTAGTGCGCACTTCATGCTGAAGCCTGACTGCAAAGGAAGGTCCGTTTATTGAGTTCCTATGGTGCGCTGAGCACTGACCTATATACTATTCCTAATTTTCATCAAGGTAGTTAATATCTCAGTTAATAAAACTGAGTCTTAGGCATCAGAATTTTAGTTTCTAGGGTCCCACAATGAACAGTTAAGAAAGGATTTGAACTCCTCACCTGTCTGACCTAGAGGTCTAGGATGGGTCAGCAAATACGGCCTGCCTCGAGGCAAGAATAATTTTTACTTTTTGTGTATCTGGAGATCTCATGTAGAGAATGATGACCACAGTCAATAATACCACACTGAATATGGGAGATTTCAACATTTTTTAACAATACAAAAATCAAAATAACAGTATTTCATGATATATGAAAGTTCCATGAAATTCCAATTTCAGTGTCCACAAAGTTTTATTGAAAGAGCCAGCCATGCTCGAATGTTCAATAATTACCTACTGCTGTTTCCACATTACAACAGCAGACTTGAGGAGTTGCAACAGAGACCTTATCATCCACCAAACCTAAATATTTGCTATCTGGCCCCTCACAGAAAAGCTTGCTAACTCCTAGTTTAGGATTACTTTGGGGGTCAAGGAGATAATGCTTTGATTCACTTGAAATCTCAGAGGCCTGGATCAGGCAGGGAATACGGTATAACAATCACCCCTCAAGACCAGGCCAGATAAGCCGCTGCCTCCCTGAGGAGGGCAGTTCCCGGAAAGCTAACAGGTTTTCATGCTGTCAGTCGGTGCCCCCAATGGCAGCCTGTGTTGCTTTATCGATGCCTTGTTCTTAGGGTTCAAGAAATTGAATGCATTTTTCTCAGCCCAGGAAAGGGGAAGTGCGTGAGGAGACAGAATACACAACTCAGAAGGGGAAAGTGGCTCTGAGGAGGGAAGGCACAGGGCTTCCCACATGCAATGTACTGCATAGAGTACTGTGTCCCACCGTGGATGCGTCCACTGAAGAACCGAGGTGGTGGGGAGGAAATCCAGTCAGCAAGACTCCCAGGCCTGAGCCAAGTGCCAGGCTTAGTGGCAGAAGGAGAAGCCTCAGGGCTCAGAGCCGAAACTGGTTTAGAACGACTCTGCAGTCAGCTGAGCCAGGAGGAGCCAGGGGCAAGGCCGGGTTAAGGGCCCGAGGGCAGCCTGACTCGCCCTGATTACTTGCTCTACATCAGAGTGATCCTGCCTCTGAGAAATTCCATCCGCTGCTTCTGACAGGCCCACCTAGGACAGGTGTTCACAGAACTTGAACAGCTCTTCATGGAGTGCCAGCCCTCACTGCAGGAGGTGCTCCCCAGACCAGGGGAGGAGAAGGCCGGATCCCTCCCACAGAGCCTTGCAAAGGGAAAGTAAGAGGGGCAAACAGCTAAGGAGAATGCACACCTCTAACCAAGGAAGAACTGGTACAAAGCTTCCTTCTGGTCCCACACCATCAGTGCTTTCCTCTTCAGTCTCCTCTCTAGCCAAGAACTCTGGTCTAAAGGTCAGTATTTCTCATCTGGAACCATGGCTGGGGCAGCCCTTCCAAGTCCTCCCCTTCCCAGTAGCTTTCTACTTGAATGCAGCCCATTCTGAGCACTGAGCATTTCAAAAACCTGTGTGCCAGGTGCCAGGTAACACCTGCCATGGATCCAATTCCACAGGCTGTGGGCCGGTGGGGGGTTGGGGGAAGGGGAATTGAGGAACATCTGTTAAACAGATAAGTACTATCATTGAATGACAATGAACTCTTAGAAGACTTTGCAGCAGCAGGATGGGCACTGAGGATGGTGTGTCTGTCCTGATCTCCTGGAGGGGAAGGCAAATCAATTTCCTAAAGATGTATCAGTTTCTTCCTGAGAAGGTGGAGAACATACTTACAAGTTTTAGTATAGTGCGCCATCTTCTGGACTGAGTCCTACCCACCTCCCAGCCTGTTTGTGTCTGAAGACACGGGCTCTTAGTGTATCACACACTTGGGACTGGAAAAGAGAATCGCCCTTCTACCGCTTCCAGATGCTAGTTGGAGGATCGCAAAACCGTGCTTCCACTTCATTATGACCAGTGTCAGAGAAAGCAGAATTTCAAGGCTTCTGTCATAGACAAATGACTTGTGAAGAAAAACTCTACCTTTTTTTTCTTTTAAAAGTGCAGTTAGGTTTCAAGATCTGCACAGAATTGAGAACGAGAGGAGCCTGATGCTGTTCTGTATGATATTCTGTAAAGAACTATTCCCGGTGCAATTATGTTGCTTTTAGGGACACGTTTCCCCACCCCAGTAAGGATGCTGACTGTACTGTCTAAAACTAATGGCTGTTTCGGAGAGGTATGTGTGTTCATACAAGCGTGCAAGTGTGTCTCAGTATCTGCTGGACAACCAGAAATAAGTCCTCATTCGCACACCTCACAGTAGTGGGCAAGTCTAGAAGAGAGGAGTCTTGGGATGCCAGAGCTCACCCCAGGCTATGTGCTGAAGGCCCCCCGTGTGGTGTGCAGCTAGAGCGAGCATGTAAGGGCCTGAGCTGGTGGGGATTACTGCCTCCTCCTTGCGCGGGTCCTCCTGGGTGATCAAGTGGTTTGATGGATGGCATCTCTCTAAAAAGGAGGAAACAATGGCCTAGGAAGTACTCTGGAAAGTAGAACACAATTTTCTGCTCTCTCTCTGTACTACCCTCCCTATATACTTTGTACTATGGCCCAAATCAACATTCCTTACCAAAGAGTAGTGGAAAATCTTCCATTCCCCTAGTGCTTTAGAAAAGAAAATTGTTTGGGGATAGCAACAATTTCTTGTCTGTTACGCATGTCCATGTACATACAAAGTTCACCCAAATTCAACCCCCGGTGTGGCTCACCTCAACCTGATCACAGACACCGGGGAACCCGAAGATGCAGTCCAGATCCGGAACCTCCTGTAGTAGCTTACGTTTCTACCCGAGTCCACAGAGAAAAGGACCGGAAGTGGGGCTCCGCCTCGCGGCTGAGGGAAGCCCATACAGTGGTCGCGCAGGCGGAAGACAGGGGTGCAGAGCTTAGAAGGCTCCGCTCCTGTTTACGACTTTCGCACGGTGGCTGCCGCGGCTGCCGAGGTGGGTAGCGGGAAAATCCCGCGGGGGCTGTGAGGATTGGGGGATGCCGGGCGGAGGCCGCTGCCCCGATTGCGGCTCTACTGAGCTCGTGGAAGACTCGCACTATTCACAGAGCCAGCTGGTGTGCTCCGACTGCGGCTGCGTGGTCACCGAGGGCGTCCTTACTACCACCTACAGCGACGAGGGCAACCTCCGAGGTACCTGCGGCAGCCTTTCCAGGGTTTGGGTACAGCCTAGGGCGGGGGAGGGATTGACGTCAGATTCCTCTCATCTCCCGCCCTCTTCTGGTCAAGTGCAACCCTTAAAAACGGGAGAAAAAGACCTAAAGTGGACGGGTGACCTGCAGAAGGTCAGGGACTGCCATTCATCTGTTTTCCTAGCACGCAGTATGGTATCTGGCATGTGTAGTAGGCATAATAAACCTTGAAGAAATGAAACCAAGAGAGAAAGTTCCATTCTGTGTACCTAGTCTGGGCATGATGGAAGGATTGTAAATCGATTCTTTATGAATGCAAGCAGGTGGTGTTATCCCAAAGTAGTTTTTAGCACTAATTGGCAAAAACATCTTTGTTTCTTTGCTTTCCAAGTCCCTGACCAGTGCAGCCACCACCATCTGCAACCAGGAAAATTGTATGGGTTGGGTGTACAGGGGAACAGCTGAAAATTTGGAACCCTTGTAGCAACGTTAGTGCAATCCTGGTCTTCCTGAATCGTGTGTGTATTTGGAAAACCTGATGGACCTTTAGTGTACAAATATGAGGCACCTCCTGTAAATAGGGAGCTGATGCCTAATGATTTGAATTCTAGTCCTGGTTTCTGTGGTGGGAGGGCAGGGGTCTGGTGAATAAAGGCTAAAAAGTTATTTCTTGTCCATTATTTTACAGAAGTAACATATTCCCGAAGCACAGGAGAAAACGAACAAGTTAGTCGCAGCCAGCAACGAGGTGAGAATCAACCTTTTATGATATAGTGACTTTAAGGAATATTCTCCTGATGATCCAGCCCATCTTCTTGCTTTTGTTGTTTTCAAACTTTACCATGTAAGGTAGGGTAAAAGTGGATGGTAATTAAGAGTAAAGGATGGAGATGGTTCTAAGAAAGGAAACAACCCAGTCTAAGGTTGGGTTTGCTCAGGGTGTGTTTGATCGACTTCGGGAGCCCCAGATCAAACTTGTACTTGGCCCTTAATCAGACTAGCCTCCAAGAAACAGTGGGCTGACATGTGACTTCTTTCCAGAAATTTCTTTGTGCCTACAGAATGATTCACCAGTGTCACTCTTGTCATTACAGAAGGGTACATTATTTGTGCATCTGGTATCAGGTAGGTTTAGCAGAAAGTGCCAGGAGCCATACTGTAGCTCGTTTGACCCCTCTAACTCTTAGTGGGGTTTTTCCCAGGTCTCCGCAGAGTGAGAGACATCTGTCGCATTCTGCAGTTACCGTCCACATTCGAGGACACAGCAGTTGCCTACTACCAGCAGGCATACCGGCACTCTGGCATCCGTGCTGCCAGGCTGCAGAAGAAGGAGGTTTTGGTCGGGTGCTGTGTCTTAATCACCTGCCGGCAGCATAACTGGCCCCTGACCATGGGAACCATCTGCACAATGCTCTACGCAGATTTGGATGTGTTTTCTGGCACCTACATGCAGATCGTGAAGCTCCTGGGGCTGGATGTGCCATCGCTGTGCCTGGCAGACCTGGTGAAGACGTACTGTAGCAGGTACCTGCCTAGTGGGAGATGTGGGCATGGGCTGGACCCTTAGACCTGAGTCCTTTGACCTTTGGCTGTCTCTTTGACCAAAGCCTCCCTGAAAGGACTTGGGAGAAAAATCAGTTTTCCCTCCTCTGTGCCTAGTTCTAATAAAGTTGATCCCATTTTACATCTCCAGAGTGCTATCGTTTTCCAATGCCTTTGCCCTCCCTGCAGCCTAGTGGTGTAGGGAAGGTAGGAGTCAGCCTTGGCACAGGGCTGTTCGGCTGGCCACCACCCTATGCACAGCCTGCATGGCTGTGTGCTGCAGCCCTGCCAAGCGGGGTCTTCTGCAGGCGGAGCTAGGTGGGTGGGTACCAGTGAGTGACAGCACAGGTTAGAGGCTCCTCCTTTGTTGTTTTTAGGTAGATGGGTCCTTTTCTTGCTTCTGACAAATGTCGAAAGCAGAGGCTATGGGCATCAAATTGTCTTGGGTCTGAAGCTTGGTTACTTCCTAAATGGGTGACTGCGGGCAAATTTTTCAACTATAAATGCACTTAACAAGGTGTGGAGTAGATGAAAGGGGAACATTGGTAAAACCCTCAGAATAATGGCTGGTGGGAGGCAGGGCTCAACAAATCTTAGCTCCCTTCTGCTTTCTCCTGCCCTTCAGGCAGAAGTCTCACCTTCTTTTCCCAGTAGCTGTATAAACTTGCTGCCCAGCAGGCTCGAGTGTTCCCAAGGGGGTGGAATAGCTTGCATGTCTTGTGTGGCATTGAGTACAGACCCTCACTTTGGTTATTTCAGCTTCAAACTGTTCCAAGTCACCCCATCTCTGCCGGCCAAATTCGTGGAAGACAAAGAGAAAATGCTGTCACGAACATTGAAGTTGGTGGAGCTGGCCAATGAGACATGGCTGGTGACTGGGCGGCACCCTTTGCCTGTCATCACTGCAGCCGCTTTCCTGGCTTGGCAGTCGCTGCAGCCTTCAGATCGGTTGACGTGTTCCCTGGCCCGATTTTGTAAATTGGCCAATGTGGACCTGCCCTACCCCGCTTCCTCCCGCCTGCAGGAGCTGCTGGCTGTGCTGCTGCGGATGGCTGAGCAGCTGGCCTGGTTGCGGGTTCTGAGACTTGACAAACGGTCTGTAGTGAAGCACATCGGTGACCTTGTGCAGCACCGCCACATGTTGGTTCGCAAGGCCTTTCGGGATGGACCGGCGGAGCTGGAGGCCCAGGAGAAGGAGCTTCAGGGGCAGGGATGGGATCAGGGGCAGGGACGGGGAGAAGAGGAGGTGGAGAGTAGTTCCTTAGGTTTACCTGCGGGGAAGCGACCAGCCAGCCCTGCTCTGCTCCTCCCACCCTGCATGTTGAAGCCCCCAAAGCAGATCTGTCCCACACCCCCTGTCTCCACAGTCACTGGAGATGAGAACATTTCTGATAGTGAAATAGAGCAGTATTTGCGTACCCCGCAGGAAATTAGGGCTTTTCAAAAGGCCCAAGCTGCTAGACAGGCTGCCGCGAGTGTGCCTAACCCTCCCTGATGCACACCTTGGGGAGCACCTCACCCCACTCTGACAGCAGCTTGATAAGTGGCCTGTCATACCCAGAGAAACCAGTGTATGTGAGTCCTTGGGTGGTGTTCTTGTTTAGAAGATCCAAGGGGCTGTGCAGTTAGTTGGACCCCAGGTGCTGAAGTAGAAGTCAGGAGGAATGCAGGGGTGAGTGGGTTGTAGAGAATCCCTCCCTTTGGTGCCAGAGAGGAAGTTGGCTATGTTCAACTGCTGTGGGATGCCTTTCCTCTTAGGCTCTGGGGAGAATGGCAGGCACTCTCCACCTCTGGCTTTGTCTCCTCCTGCTAGTGTGCCGCCCTCAGGAAGGACCCGGGTAGTGCAGCCTGTGCCCAGTCACGGGTTGGTGGGTTCACACGTGTGGTGTCCTGATATCCTCTGCTTCATAACAAAAGGACTGTGCGTGGACTACAGCTCAAAGGGGTTTGCAAAATTTTAATATATTAAAACAAGAGGCATCTGCTAGAAATCATTCTATTGTATAAAATCCGAGCTTTTAAGAACATGTTTTCTTTGGCACTTTTCATCCCTCCCTCCCTCTCCCCAGCATATTGCAAAAGCTCTCCAGTGCTAAGGCATCGGCAGGGTATGTAAACAGCAGCCAGCATATGTGGAATAATAATACAAAGCTTTTTTTTTCTGTCTAGTATTGTCTGTGCAGCAAGCATAAATAACAGGATCTATCCCAAGGTGTGTGGGTTTTCTCCCCTCCCGTGTCTTCCTTCGCCTTCATGATCAGGCTGGGGTGGTGTTGAGGCTGGGAGGGGCCCTGGGCCAGGCCTCATTTTCCTATTGCTCTCCACACGGCTGAGGTTCTGCTTTCATTAGGTCCTGTAGTTAAAAGGCTGGTGGTTGCTTATTAGGTTGGGGAAAATAGTGCTGGTATTTTAGGTAGGGAAGGCGCAGGCCCCAGGTGAGCTGCAGGATCTCCACCCACTGCCTCAAGGATATTTAGCTTAGGCTTCTGCTAGGCAGGAGGCTGGTTTGATGTTTGGGCAATTTCTCCCTAATACGACTGGAATGGCTCTTCCATATGGCCTCTCGGAGGCAGGGAAGTGTTCTTCCTCAACCCCTTGGTGTTGGAAGCAGAGATGGGATGTGGGTCTTAGAAGTCAACAGTAAGTCATCACCACCACCTGCAGCCTTGTTGGGGAGCCCCTCTTCAGAGCATTGTTTGTAGGACCAGGTTTAAAGTATGGTAGCTTCAGCCTGTATCTAAGCACTACTCTCTGCTTCCCTTGGATCAGCCACAGAGCCAGCTTCTCAGGTTTAGGGCCTCATCCTTGTCCTGATGTGCCACCTCCAAACCATGCTGTATGGTTTGGGTACCACTCCTGTGGGAATGGTGTCCCTAATTGTGCACCCTTTCCACCAGTCCCCCTCCCACGTAACTAGTTGATCTCCAAAGCTGCCTTTCACACCGCCCCACCTTCTCCTCTTGCATAGTTCATCTGAAAAGCAGCACCTTACTACCTCCCACCAGTCCTGGTCACCTGGCTTATCTGCTACTCTGGCACCCTAGTTAGCCCAAAACTGGGCAGGGAAGGGTTTCTAGGATCTGGGCACAGATGGCTGACTTCAGAGGGCAGTGAGGAGAAAAAACCGGTCATCTGTTTTTCTTGATAAGGCTGATGACCAGGGGGGCAGTGAGGACAGAATGGCGAGTACCTAAGGAGGAGCCCACCTAGTCTGGGCTGTGCCCATCCACTTGTCACTCAAAAGACGACCTCCCCCGCTATCCCGGACAGCTCTGATTTGACTGCCAAAGCTAGCCTGGGCTGGGGTGGAAATGCATCATGCCTATGGTCCTGGGATTGTCACTCTCCCAGAGGGATGGCCCTCTTGGCAGTGGCAGGCCTCAGCTTCTCTTTTTCCCAGCCTCCAGGCCTAAAGCCAGCCAGCCCAGGTGCAGCCCCGGGCACCCCTACCTCAAACGTGTTGACGTACCGATAGACGTCTTTGAGGGCTCCAGAGCAGCTGGGTAACAAGCCCGTGTGGCCAGCCTGTCCTAAAGCATCGCCCACCCCGCCCTAGACAGTGGTCTCACTCTTCCAGAGGCCAGTCTTCATGCAGCTGCCCCCGGCAGCCTCGGCTCCTGTAGTGCTGGTGACGTCGTCGTACTTGCCGCCCTTGGGGGCACCGTTCAGGCTGGCGGTGTTGAGCGGGTACGAGCGGCGCTTGCTCTCCCTCTCCAGCGCGCCGCCACCGCCGCCCTTGAGGTTGTCGCGGCTGGCGCAGCGGCGCTGGCCCGGCCGGCCGGCCTCGGGGGGCGGTGGCGCCGCGCTGGTGTCGCTGCCCTCCGATGGCGTGAGCATGGGCTCGCCCTCGAGCTGGAGGCCGGCGCCTGGGCTGTTGCGGCTGCTGCCCGGGTAGCTGTCGGACGGGCTGTTGTGTAGGCTGCCGCTCTCACTGGACAGCAGCTCGTGCGCCCCTGCAGCCGCACCCCCGCGCAGCGCCTTGAGCCGGTTCTTGCCGCCGGCCTCCCCGGCGCGGTGCCCTTTGGCCCGGCTCTTGTGCGCTCGGCGCCCGTGGTGCAAGTTGTTGGAGTGGCGCGGAGCCAGGCTCCCCCGGGAGCCCGTGGGCTCGGGCTCCCCTTCTCCGCGGGCCACCCCTGCCACCTCGCACCCCTGACTCTGGGCCAGCTGCAGGTTGGTGAGCTTGCAGGGGCCCAGGGGCGGTGCGTGGCCGCTGCTGCCGCTCGGGGAAGACTTGAGGGAGGGGGGCCCCTCTCCGAACACTGGGGAACCGTCCTCTGCGGCGGCGGGAACGGCCCGGGACGAGGTGTGGGAGGTCGAGGCAGGGGGGCAGCAGGCGCGCCAGGAGGCCCTCACATCCCTACGCCTTGCACAGTGATGGGCGAAGACGAAGAGGCCCAGGGCCGAGGCTGCCACTCCGTACAGACAGCTGCACACCACCCGGGGCAGCCAGCGCTGTGACACAGCCAGAGCCCCACAGGCCCACATGACCAGGTACAAGAAATGCGTGGTCACCAGCGCCCCCAGCTGGACTCCCGGAGAATAGAGTCCATCACCATCCTCTGGGGGCGCGGGCGCCAGCACGCCCGCACTCCCAGTAGCCAGAAGGGACCCTGAGTCATTCAGGCCGCTGCTCCTGAGCCGGGTGGAACTCCTCAGCTCCTCCCCTGGCTCCAGGGAGACCCTGCTGGTGTCCCCCTTTGGGCTCTGTGCCAGAGGACCCCTTAAGTGCAGCCCCGCACACACGAAATAGATCCAGGTGATCAGCAGAATCAAAGCCACTGGGATGTAGAAGGCTCCTAAGCTTGGACGCCACACCAGCCAGCAGCTGAGGGGAAATGCAGGCAGGGGGTGAGATGGAGCAGGACCGAGGAGGCCCCTAGGCAGGTGACTGGGGAGAGAGGGTCTGGGGAGTGGAGAGGCAGAGACTGGTTTGGGCAGCATGCATGGGCTTGGGCTGGGCCACAGTCACCGGCTGGGTGGGCCTGGCAGGTGCCCCTGCCTGTGAGGAAAGCATCGTGTGGGCTGACTGGGCCGGGGCAGGCAGGCAGGCAGGCGAGTGGTGCTCACTAGGGGCTGTGGTCCCGGTAGTTGTGGATGTTGACTGCAGCTGTGATACCACAGATAATGAGTGGGATCCCTCCGGCGATCAAATAGAACCTGGGGAGGCATGAGGTGTGGGGTCAGAGAGACAGGGAACAAGACAGAAGGGGCTCAGAACCCTCGGCTCAGGGTTTCTCCTAATCTTTCCTCCTTAAATGCTGTCAGAATTTTTTTTTTTTTGGCTAGGGATGCAAGGCCCCTACAGGGCAGGCTTGGTAGGTCCCGAGGGCACTTGGCCAAGACTGTTCTAAGGGACAGAGGTCAGAACTGCTCTCCCTCCCCTTAAACAGTGCAGAAGTCAGGGTGCCATGCAGGTTCCAGGATCCCTGCCAGTGCCCTTTGGAGTCACTTCCTTCCCTGGCCTGGTCATGCCTGAAAAGCCCTAAGGATATACCCACTCCATGACTCTGGGCAACCCATTGCCACTTAGAGCCTTGCCTCTTCTGTCTTTGGGGTATGGTCTCCCAGGACCTCAGACCCACCCCATACCCATGCCAGGAAAATAGATATTGGTGTCCTATGCCCCCCTCTGAGGCCTCCCCACTGCAAAGCTGACCATTGGAAGCATGTACCTGAGCATGGGACGTGGAGCAGGGGGGGCAGAGTCCCCTTCCTGAGGAGGGGGTGCCCTGCAGGTGAGCTCCTTGTGGAGGACGCGGGCCTTCACACCCATCCAGAGCAGCGTGGACAGTGAGGAGTAGTGCAGAGTGATGCCCACCTGCGGGTGACGGAGGAGGCTGAGCCACCCCAGGGCCTCAGGCTGCAGAGTTCTCCCACTCACCTCTGTTCCTAGCCCCAGCTCCACCCAGATCCTCCCCAAGGCTCTGTCCCTGCTGTTAACCTCTCTACTGCCACTCCGGGATGCTCCATGATCCTGTTGTTGCTATCCGGCTTATCCCTGACCTCTCCTCCATTCCTGGTCTCTCTACTCTCCACTTTGGATGCCCATTTCCTAGTTTCTCTGCTTCTTACAACCCCCTACTCTCATGCTCTCCTCCCCCTATATGCACAAACCCCTTTCCCCCCACTGCGTCTGCCTACTCTATGCTGCCACCACTGATCTTGGAGCCCCCCGCCCTGGTCCCTTCTCCTGCTTACTGCCTGGCAGACTGTCTGGTAGTTGGTGAGTGTGATGCCTCCTGCAAAGATGGCAGAGGTCATGGCCATGTGGAAGCACAGGTTCAGCAGCATGTGCCAGCTCTTCCGGGACACACGGATGGAGCTGCCCCAGAAACAGTCTTTAATGAATGAGCCACCCAACCCAAGGGTGGGCCCACGGGGTCTCAAGGCCATTGAAAAAGCTGAAGGGGAAAGACAGGTGTTCGTGTGCATGTGTGTGCGCGCATGTGATAGAAGCTCCAGGGCAGGAAGGACTCAACCCCCAGAATGTATCTTCCAACCCCAGAACCCTTATATAGAAGGCTAGGCAAGAGCCTGGGGAAGTCACATGGACCCACTTGGGAAAGGAACACTTGCCAGTAGAGATCCCCGGCCTTCCCACCACAGTCCCCTTCCTGCAGGAGTGCCCACCTGTGGTTGAGGATGTAGGTGATGATGGTGGAGAAGAGGCAGAGCAGCAGCAGGGCCGTGCAGGGGTACACGACGGGGTGCAGCCCCGCCCAGGAGCCGCCCACCTCCCTGGGGAAGGCACTCAGCTCCTGGAAAGAGCAGGAAGAGAAAGCATGTATCAGGAAGGCAGCCAAGGCCACCCCATGGAGTCCTGGCCGGTCCCCCAGCCCTGGTCAGCTTTAGTCCTCAGCTTTGGCCTTAAGTCTACCCAGGTGGGCAAAGAGGTAGGTGCCCCAACATATACTCTTAGGAAGTGGGTCTTAGGTAGTGTGACAATCTACTGCCGGCCTTCCCCTCAACCCCCATCTTGGTATACTGGGGACTGAAAATCAGAGATGAGGAAAGAAGGGGAAGGTCCTGTCTGGAATACAGCCACATGCCTGCTCAGGATCTGAGAAAGGGGGGTGTAAAACGTGGAGAGGAGGGGGACCAGAAAGGAGAGACGGTCCCAGATTTTTTTTCTACTTTAACAATCTGGGCCTCAGGGAGCCTGGATGTGAAGATGTGGCTAGATGGTCCCAGTTCCATCTTTCTCCATTTGGAAATGGAAGCAGGACCTCCAAAAGTGTAGGGGGACATTTCCCCATGAGTCCTGGCAGCCAGGAGGCCCGACCAGGCTGCTGTCATGTCTGTATTTCTCTGTGGCCCCAGGTGATCAGAGTACTAACCCCTTCCTAGCACACATTCCTTGTCCCTGTCATCCTACCCCTGGCCCCACTACACTCACCATGAGCACGGCCACATTGCCCAAGTGCTGGCAGTGCAGGGAGCTGACATTGGGCTGGCTGGAGCGCAGCTGGCAGCCCTCAGAGCTCCAGCCCCCAGGTCCCCCTGCACCCTCCTGACTCCACCAAGCTGCCACAGGTTCTGCCCCCTCCGCCCAGTGCCGCAGAGAAACAGCCACTGGCTCCGTCAGGTTTCCCACGCCACAGCCACCTACAGGGAGAGGAAAACCCACATAAGGCCGTCTCTGGAACTAAGTGTCAGCAAAAGAGCAACAGGCAAAGCCTGCATTGGACCCTGGGTAGGGCGTGCACTGGGCTTGGGGGATATAGTGAGCTGCCAGGCAGGGGCTGTGCCCTCCAGGTTGTTGGGCTAAACAGGGAGACACAGGGATGTATCCATGTAAAAGTGCTGGGAGTGCCATATGAGTAGCCATGGCATGCCCAGAAGGAGAGGACTCCGGGGCTGGCGTCAGGGACGAGAAGGTAGGTCACGGTGAGGAAGCAAAAGCCCAGGTGGAGGGGATTCAGGAGGGCACCCCAGGGAGGGAAAGTTGGCCAGGTGAGGAAGGTGGGACTGAGGGAGGGAGGCCAAGGTAGGTCGAGGATTTATGCCTATAGTTCTTTTGAAATCTGACAAATCTGGGATGTAAATTCCAATGCCTTCCGGAGCCTTTGCCCCTCCAATCCGTTCCTTTACAGGATGTGTGTGTCCCCCATGCTCCTTGGAAATGATGAGGAGCCCCTATCCTGTCACCTCCACCGGGGCGTTAGGGGGCGCTGTGGGCGAGGGCGGGATCCCGCGCAGACGGGAGTTCAGCCCCTTACTGGTTCCTGCAAAGATGACGGGGGTGGCCACGCCGCGCCTCTTGCCCGGCCCCGGTGCTCCGGGGCGGGAGGTGTTGCCGTGGCTGCGGAAGAGGCGGCCGTTGCGGAAGACGAGCAGCTGCAGAGTGCAGTCTGGGGGCGCTGGGGGAGCCAGGGCAGCCGGAAGGGACGAGAACAGGCTGGGTGGCAGCTGGATGGAGGCCAGGGCCACGCTGTTCTGGGGGGACAGAGGAGTTCCTCAGAGACGCCGGGGGTCCCCTAGAACTGTCTTCCAGCCGCCTCCTCTCGTCCCACCCTCCCCTTCTCTGGGCTCTGCCTATCTCACACAACCCGCCCCCACCAGGCACGTGCACCAGGGTACCCTCTCTCAGCGTCCTCCTGCCCCGGTGCCCACCTTGATGTGGAAGGCTGACAGGGAGATGCTGGGCCTCCCAGTCGTGCAGCGGAAGCGGAGCTGCTGATCTGCCAGGAGCTCAGGCTCAGGCGGGGGATTCTGGCCGGAGCCGCCGGGCCTAGCGCCCAGCGCACCTGCCTCCCTCCTCTGGAAGGCTGTGCAGGTCAGCCCCACGTAGCTGTGCGGCTTGATGAGGTAGGCCTCCAATGCCACATTCCTTGAGTTCTAGGGACAGGGAACTTGTCACCCCCTAACCTGACATATGACAGCCTTCTCTTGGCACAGTCCCGCTCTGCCGATCTGTGCCCTGTCTTCTCAAGGCCTGGCAGGGCCATGCCCACCAGTGTCCCAACCCTGGGCACAGCACCTTCTGCCTGCTAAGGCCCTTCCTCCCACTCACCTGTACCTTGTTCTTGCTCACCTCTTAACCCAAACCAGTTCTGCTGCCCCAGCTAAGCTGGAGAGCAGTCCATGTCCCACCTCCTTATAGCTCCCCGAGTGCCTAGCACATCTGGCCCCTGGGAGATGCTCTTAGTTGCCCTAGTTGGTCACTGTTTACAACCCAGCACTGGAAATGCCACCCTCCTCTCAGAGAATAGAAATGTCCGTATCCTCGTCCCATCATAGTGCTGCCGACAATCCCTCCTCCCGCTCTTTCCACCCCTCTTACCCGCTCCTGTCTGTTTCCATCAGGCTAGCCCTGCAACCTGGGTCCCAGCATGAAGGCTTGCATAACTTCTCGGTACCGCTGGCCTCCCTCCCCTTTGCACTGCCCCTGACGACCGGAACTGGATTCCACATGCCCCAGAAGCTGTCTTGCACGGTGCTCTTGCTAGCTGGGTGCATGGCAGATGCATACTTGGAGGACTCGGGGCCTTGCTCAAGAGAAGCTTTTCCCTCCTGCATGATGAGGACTGACCCCATTTGACTCTAAGTTCCCTCCCAGGGCCAGGCCCCCGAGGACCCCTTCCTAGCTGACCCACATTACCACAGAGATGTGCTGGGCATGGGAGCTGAGGGCAGCCCCCCCGATGCGCTCCAGGGCCCCCACAATGCCACTGCAGGCCTTGTCCTCACGCTGGGCCAGCCACAGCAGATGCTCGTCCACCAGCATGAGGTTGCTGGCCATGTCCACCATCACCTCCACCAGCTGGGGGGATGGGGTAGTCACTGAGGGCAGGAGTTGGGGGCAGAGGCTTGAGCACATTGGGTGGGGGTTCCAGGGGCCTAGAGGCCTGGTGGAATCTCACCTCTTTGATCTGGTCGACATAACCCAAAAATTTCTGGATCATCTGAGCCACATAAATTACATCCATCATGTCTGAGAAGCTGGCAGCCTCGGCTGTGTACACTCGCAGCTGGTGGGCCAGGGTCAGTGCGTTGGAGGCATTGATGGGCATCTGGGGGTTTGGGGGGAAGAAAGGGGACCATCCAGTCTTGCTCCTTCTCCAGAAACTGGCCCTAGGGGGCCCCCTCCTCTGCCCAGGCACACATAGCCCACCAGCTGGGACCAGTCAAGACAGGAGGTGCCTATAGGGGATGAATTCATCATAAATCAAGGCTGCCCACTTCTAGTGCCTCTGGGCCAATGGTAATGAGATGACCTCACACCGTCCTTGTTCCCCCCTAAGGCTGCCCTTGCTGTGTGGTGGCTGAAGACGCTTGGCATGGCCCACGCTTCCCTAGTGTGGCCTTGGCAGGCCTGGATGCCCTGGAAGAAGGAAAGCTGGAGAAGAGCAGAGCCCCTCACTGCGCAGCTCCAGGCCCTGGGGGTCCAGCAGGCTTCTCCCCTCCGGATTCCTCAGGACCAGAGCTCACAGCATGTTCCCTGCCCCTCTCCTTTCCTGGCCTCACCAGCACGAAGGTGTAGAGCACCCGGGTGATGTCGTTGGTGTACAGACAGTGGGAGTAGTCCCCCGGCTCCCAGCGGCCAGCTCGGTCACACCGGCGGGAGGCACGGGTGCCCGGGGCACCCCCGCTCAGGGGCACAGAGGTGAAGGGGTACTGCAGGCAGGACTGGTAGGCCGTGATGCCAGCCAGAGTTCGAGGCCACCTGGGGGCAGAGGTGAGAACTGCCCATGACCCAGGCTCCTGGGGCAAGGCTCCCTCCCCTGCCCTGAGAACTGCGTCCAGACCCCCTGGGACCTGGGGAATAGATGCAGAAGAGGGGGCTTGGCCTGGCCTTCAAGGGGTTCCCAGCTCCACCTTTTTTCTAACTCTGGATGGCGCTGTCCCTGGTGCTATGGGCATGTGGAGTCCTGACTTCCAGTCACAGCCTTTCTGGTCCTCAGTGTTCTCAGCTGTACAGTGGGAAGAATACCTGCTCTGCCTAACTGAGGCCATCGGGATATTTGTAAGGTTGAAGGCACTGGGGGGAGGGGGGAGCACGTCGGACACTTATGACGTGCCAAAGTCCCGGGCTGCTGTGCCTTAGGCTAGCCAATCCTCGCGCCGCTGTAAATCTAAGCTCTGCCTCCCCCTACCTTCTTTAAAAACTCGCTGCCTGTCTACTTTCGCGTGACTTCCCGGCCTGTGACAGCCAGGCCTTTGAACCTCGCCCGGGGCATTCAAATAAATTACCTGGCCCTTTGTTGCCTCTCTTTGCCTGCTTATTTCGGCTAGAATTTATCTTATAATATTAAAATGTGATATTTGTCGGTGGGAGAGCTTTGTAAACTATTAAAAGGAAGCAAAAAAAAAGCCTTTTGTTTTTCAAAGCACTTCAGGATAATGATTTCATACAGAGATAAGGTCTCTTTAAATACAACGGAAGAACTTGGAGATGGGTGACAAAACGAAGTGGTTTTCTCCATTTTAGTGTGTGGGGAACCCCTGGCGCCCTGCGGTCTCAGATGCAGAAGCGGGGGCGGGGGCGGGGCGGCGGGGGCTGGGGACGGGGGCGCGGTCTCCGCGGCGGCGGGCAGAGCACACCTGAAGTCCCCGCGGTTGTTGGCCACGCGCTCGGCGGGGCAGTAGGAGGCCGAGGTCTCCAGCACCACGATCTCCACCTTCTGGCTGGCGTTGCCCTGCACGGTGGACACGGAGCACTCCCATTCGCCGGAGGCCCACACGCCGATGTGGGACAGGGTCAGCTCGCTGCGGGCGGGCGGGCGGAGCGCGGCTCGCTGAGGTGCCCTCGGGCGGCCCCCTCGCTCCGCGCCGGCCCCCCAGGCGCCCTGCCCTAGGCCGGGCGGGGTGAGCTGCAGGCTCCTGGTCTTTGAGCGAGTGAGGGATACAAGTACAGACGCCTTAATTCTGACTGGCCTTGAGATACTGCTTCCTGAGCTTCAACTTCCCCATCTGTGTCATGGAGATAATGCCTCTCTTGCAGGTCTACTCGAGGGATTAAGTCCAGTAACACAGGTGAGAGCTGCTAATACAGCGCATCCTCACTAACGAAATGTCAGATATAGTTTTTTTCTATGAGGCATTTAATTTCTACCCCTAATCCAGGCCATTTGTGCTTCAGTCCTGAATTTCCATAAGCCCCCCGCCCCACACGAACAAACGCCCAGGGACATGTCTGGGCACAGCTCCTTCGGGGGGTGGCGAGATGGCGTGGGCAGAGCAGGGGCAGCTGGGGGACAGAACCTCTACCTGGTGATGAAGGTGCAGTCATGGATGAGGCTCTCGGCCAGAAGCACGCCTGCCTGCTCGTCGCCCTCCACGGGCGTCCGGTCGTGGTACCAGCGGATGCGGGTGTCGTTGCCTAGGTAGCTGGCGGAGCACTGGAAGGGCAACCGGTCACCCTGGAACACCACTTGGCGGAGCGAGGGGATGAGGTGGTGCGTGTGCAGCTCCAGGGCCCCCTCTGTGGGGAGACAACAGGAGCATGAGCATCCCGTGGGGGGCGGGGGGAAGCAGAGGCAGGAGAAGGCCTCCAGAGCTAAGAGCACAGGAGGGGAGAGGTTTTGGACAAACAAACACAAGTGCTCCTTTCCACAGCACCCTTGTCACCCCAAGAGTTAAGAGACATGAACACATAAAGCACCAGCTGTCCCAAAGCCAGTTTTGAAAAGCCAATGTGGGACCATCCCCGGCGGGATCTGAGGGGAAGGATGCCCAGAGAACATGCCCCCCACCCAGTGGCGCGTTAGCAGAGAGAGCCTTGAGCCAGCAGGGTCCCTCAGGAGGGAATCCGGGCCAGGTGGGGTCCTCAGCGGGTGCACGATGCGGGTTTGCTCACCGCAGCGCAGCTGGGCCTCCTGGAGGCCACTCAGGGCCTGGGCGTGCAGGGCTTTGGGGTAGGCACAGAGCGTACGCTCAGACAGCTGCAGGGAGTGGTTCCGGGCCCAGGACAACAGCCAGCGCAGGCGGCAGTCACACGTCAGGAACTCGGTGCCCAGGTCCCTGCAGAGTGGGCAGAGGGTCCTCGGAGTAGAGCCGGGGGTGTGTGGGCTCACAGGGCAGGGATGGAGCCCCAGGGAAAGACTGAGGCTGGACACCAGTATGTGTGCACCACCAGAGGCCTGGCAGTTGTGGCAGAGCAAGTATGGTGGAGTGACAGCCGCTCAGACGGCTGGCTGTGGTGGCTACCATGCTTATGTGTCTGCCCCTGGGCAGAGGAAGGCAGCAGAGGTCCGAGACCTTGGGCTGGGAGAAGGTACTCACACAGCCTGCAGGACTGGCAGCTCATCAAAGACTCCTGGCTGCAGACTGGAGAAGATGTTTCCAGATATGTTTCTGCAGGGGGCAGGGAACAGTGAACCAGGATCTTAGAGTTTCCCTGAGCCAGAGTGGGGTGCGAGAAAGGAGAATGCAGGGGCCTGTGAGGTTGGGTGGGCCTTCTCCCCACCAAGCCCTCCCTGGGGGAGCCCTCTCTTCCCACTTCCCCACCCCACTCACAGCCGGACAAGCCTGGGGAGGCCCTGGAAGGTCTCAGGGGCGAGACAGCCAATCCGGTTGTTGGAGAGATCTCTAGAGAGACACACAGCCTCAGCACACTGATCGGCTGTGAGGGACACGCGTGCGTGGGAAGTGGGATGAAAAGGAAGGGGTTGAGCTGACAACGTGCCCTTGTCTGTCCCCAGAGACAGGCTGTGTGGGAGGGGGCAGCATGGCTGAGCAGGAGGGCTGGCTGCTCGTGGGATCACGGCTCTCCCCAGTGCTGAGGAGCGGGGACATGCCACTCACAGGCGCTTCAGCTCGCCCAGGCCCAGAAAAGCACCCGGCTGCACTGTGCTGATGACATTGTTCCTCAGGTCCCTGTGGGAGGCAAGAAGGACCCTCACACCTGGGCCGCTTGGGGCCACAGGCTCCCTGGAGGTAGGAGGCCTCCTTGTCACCAGAAGTGCGGGGAACAAGATTTCCCTGTAAACCAGGACTTGGTTCAGCGCTGGTTGGGAGGTGGGAGGAAGGACCCATCCCTTGCACAGGTCTCCTCAGGCTCGGCTACACCAGCAGTGCTGGTTGGGGAGGATGGAGAAGCCAGGGTGGGATGGGAAGGGCCTCGGATGAGGGAGGAGCAGGAGGCCCCACGTTGCTCCTCCAAGCTGCCCTGCCTAGCTCATGGGGCTGCTATGACAGCCATTTGAAAATGGGTGTTGCAGCCTTTTGTAAATTGCTATGCAAAGGCAAACTTCTGCAGCCTGGCATTGGGAGGTATTTTATGGCTGTTCTGTCCTTGTGAGGAAGCAGGTCATGCAGCCGGTTGGTGACCGCATGGATGCTGACCTGGGTCTCCCACCCTAGGCAGGGCTGTGAATCCCCTGGCACACCCCTCATTTGCAGGCTTGCTCGTGGTACTCTGCCACCATCCCTCAGGCTCTCCAAGGGGCCCATGGAGGCACCACCTCCCTCTGGGCTGAGCTCCAGCAGGCCCTAGACAGGATGGAAGGTGGTGGTGCCCCCCAGGGCTCCATGAGGCCAAGGGCGGCCCACCCAGAGGGGCAAATTCTGTCCCAGGGTCTGGCAGCTCAAATTCAACCATGTGGCCAGAGTACGGCTGGCAGTGGCTGGGACAGGGCTGAAGGGACAGTCCTGCCACTGGAGACCCATTGGAGCCCAGCTGGCCCCAGCCCAACACCGACCTTGGCAGCCCTCTGGGTCCACTGAGGACTGAGGGAGTACTTGTGCCCTGGCCTTCCTCCCCAGCCGCCATCCTCCGGGTGGGCGCAGCCACGGGGAGGTGTCCAGACAAGCAACCGGCCACTCACCCATCTACTCGAGGACCACCCGGATCCTTCCTGAACCAAAGCAGAACAGGCTTAAGCCTTACAGAGCAACTTACCAGGAGGCCTCACTGCTCACCCGCCTCCTGTCCAGAGCCCTGGGGGGCTGTACCCCACTGCTTGCCCCCTGTGTTCCAACTTTCTCTCTGCTCCCACGCCAGCTCCCGGGAAATTATGAGGTAGAGGACCATGGTGGGGGGTTGCTGGATAAGCAACCAGTCAAAAGGGCTTGTTGGCAGGAAGGAGACTGACAGGTGTATCTGGGATCTACCTTTCTTCCAAGGCCTTGGCAGGGGGCCCTGGGATCTGCCTGCCCAGGGGCTGCTCTGGATTATGGGCAGGAGGGGGTTAACTGGGCCAACTCCCTGCTGGGGCAAGAGGAAATCGGTGTCCAGGATGGGAGGTGCTCTCCCACCAGGGGACCTGTTTTCCCACTGACAGTCCTAGTTGGGGACATAAACACCCAGATAGAGAGAGAGAAGTGAAGCACCCCGCTTGCAGCCAGAGGTCCTCATACCTCTGCGACCTCTCATACCAAGGACATGGCTGGCCTTCATAACCCTGAGTCCTCTTGAGAAAGAAGGGAAAGCCACCAGAAGGGACCGGCTTTCTAGAGAAGAGGTAGCTTCCATACCCAGGCATGCTAGGAAGTGTCCCAGAGCTCTGTGCACACAGGGAGTGTGCACATATCCGAAACGCTGAGAGGAGGCTGGATGTGGAGGGGATGAGCACTCGCCTGCCCAGGGCTGCCCTTCCTGCCTACACCCCCCTTCTGCTGCCCAGACTCCTGCCCTCACGGCCCCCCCTCCAGTTCTGTTCCAGCATGTGCCCCGTGGCCCCTGTTGGGGTCTGGCCATTCTCAGGGCTCTGTCTCCCACCCCCATGCGGGGGACGGGCAGAGGGAAACACATTCCTCATTGTGTCACTTCCCTTCATGGGCTGCCAAGGGGCTGAGGCCGCAGCCCCCCTGCCCTTCCCTCTCCGCTCACTTGTGTTTATTCTCATTTCCTCCCAGGCCCCCCTTGAGCACCCCCACCCTGCCTGCCCCACTGATGCTCTGCAGATGGGAGCAAGGAGGCCTGCTCGGCCCCAGCCCCTTCCTGCCCTGGATTTCCTGCAGCCCAGAGCCGGGGCCTTCTGAGTGGGGAGCATTCACCAATCACTGGCATTCTTTCCCCTTTGCCTTGTGCCCACGGAGTGGCTTCAGGGGTGACCAAGCCAGGCCCTTGAGTGCCCTTGGCCCAGACTCACCAGTCCTGGGACCTTCCTGAGGGCACAGGTCAGAGGCTGCACACTGGGCTGAGCTCTGACAGCTTGATGGGGCCTGGCCAGCGGGCTGGTAATGCATCCTGGTCCCTAAGGTGGGGAAGCAGCCCTGGGTCTGTACCCTCCCTGGAGGTAGGAGAACATGCTGCCAGACCCTGCAAGGCTCCTATAGGTTGGTGTTTCTGCACCTATCTTGCTTAGCTCCTCCTTTTGAAAATCCAGTGACAGCTATGACTCGTGCCTCAGAAAGATGCCCTACCCCCAGCATTGTGCATGCGACTCCAGAGGTTTGTGGAAACCCAGTTCTGGGCTGTCTGATCTGAGCCCTTCATTTCTTAGGTGGGGTCACGAGGATTCGCAGAGGTTTCTATAGCAGTAGAATCCCCCAGCCCCTCTCGCTTCCACAGAGCCCAGGCCCTGGAACCTGGGAAAGATGCAGTGTGTATGGATGGACCTCTGCTCCCCACTTCGCAGCCCAACCCAGACTGGGCTCCCTGGACTCTAGGCACCCCCCTGTATCTATGTCAATATGGCAGAGAAGGACCCCCATGGCAGAAGTCAGGAGGAGGGGGTTCCTGGGAGCAAATCACACCCTGTCCCCTTCCTGGGAAGGCAGAGGCTCAGGAAGCTGAGCATGTAAGAGCGAGTGTGTGAGCACAAGCAATGAAAGAGAAAACTGATAAGCTGGACTTAATAAAAACGCAAAATGTTTTCAAGGACACCATCAAGAAAGTGAAAGATAACCTGTGGGATGAGAGAAAATATTTGCAAATCATGTATCTGAGAAGGGACTTCTATCCAGAATATATAAACCCTTACAGCTCAAGAATAAAAAGACAACACGGCCGAACAAATATGTAAAGGATTTGAACAGACGTTTCTTCCAGGAAGATACACAGATGACCAGTGAATGCCTGAAAAGATGCTCAACACCGTCAGTCATGAGGAAAATGCAAATCAAAACCACAGCGAGATACCACTTTATAACCCACTAAGGTGGCTACAGTCAGACAGACAAGAGCAAATATTGATGAGGATGTGGAGGAATTGGAACCCTTAAACGTATTGGTAGGACTGTAAAATGGTGCAGCCATTTTGGGAAACAGTGTGGGAGTTAGAATGACCATATGACCCAGCAATTCCATCCCTAGGTATGTATATCCAAAGAGAAGTGAACATCCATCCACACAAAAAAACCTGCGCAGGTATGTTCATGGCCATGTTACTCATCATAAACCAAAAAGTGGGAACATCCCAAGTATCTATCAACTGATAGTAAATAAACAAAATGTGCTATATTCCCACAAGGAAATATTACCAGGACGGAAAAAGGAATGAAGGGCGGGTACATGCTATGTATGGATGGACCTTTGGAAACATTATTCTAAGTGAAAGGATCCAATTACAAGAGATTACAGATTGTTATGATCCCATTTCTATGAAATGTCCAGAATAGGCAAATCTATAGAGACAGAAAGATTAGTGGTTGCTGGGGGCTGGGGAGTAGTGGGTGGAGGATTGGGAGTGGCTAATGATTCAAGGTTTCTTTGCTGGATGATGAAATTGTTCTAAAATTAGATTATGGTGAGGACTGCACACTGTGTCAAAATACTAAAGGCCACTGCATCGCACACTTTAAACCGGTGAGCGTCATGGTATGTGAATGCCATCTCACTAAAGCTGTTGACAGTGTGTGGGTTTGTATGACAGACTGTGGGTTTGTATGACAGACTGTGCATGTGTGTGTGCGTGTGTGAGCTGTGCCACATTCGGGCAGGGTGGGGCAGCTGAACGTGGGCTCCCACTGGCCCCAACAGACCTCCCTGCTTGTGGGTTTGAAAACCAAATTATAGGTTCAGAGGCCGCAAAGCAGCTCTCCCTGGGCACTCTAGGACTTCCAGGGTTCATTAGAAAGCAGGGGCCGGCTACAGTGGGTTGTGGGAGGTATAGAGGTTGTCTAGGGGAAGAGGGGGGAAGGTTCTGGTGGTGGAAGGCAACCCAAGATGGTCCTGGCCTCCCTCCCACCTCCAGGCCCTGGGCCCCTCTTATCTCTGATAGTACCAGCAGGTATTTATTGAGCACATACACTGTGCCAGGCACTGGGGCTGCAATTGCAATAGGCCCGTCCCCGGTCCCCAAACCCAGAAGCCTCTCTCCCAGGCCCTCTGCTGCGCCAGAGCCTGCAGGCCGCCTGTCTGCCTCATTCCTCCCCAGCGCTGTGGGGATGGGGAGGGGGGCAGAGCCCTTACCCTCGGCCCCGCCCACAGATTAATGGAAACCACCTGGCGGATGAGCCGCACTCCATCCTCCGGCCCCCACTTGCCGACGTTCCCATGAGCATCTGCTTCTAATGAGTGCCCCAGCACTGCTGCATACCAGCCCCCGGGGCTCATTAATCTCATTAGGCAATGACAAATCATCCTGGGGCTGACCAGGCTCCCCTCCCCAGGCCTTTTCCCCAGGCTCGCTAGCCCCTGGGGTGAGGGGGTGTGTTTACACAGACCCGGGTGCCTGCATGCACACCCAGTCTCTCTCCTTTGGCCCCTCGGGGGGCTCTCTATCCTGTGGCCAGCCTGGTCCCCTGTCAGTGGGCGTCTTGCTGGCTGGGGCACGCTTGGAGCCCTGGAACAGGTCTCCTGGTGGCTCGCTGTTGAATGTGAGTGGTGCAGGATCTGGGCAGAGATGCGAGGGACCAGAGGAATGACCATCCTCGAGCACTTTCCGCACGCACGTTTCAGCTCCAAGACTGCCTGCCCAAGGGGGGAGCTC